CAATAATCTGCCGGATGAAGGTCTCGCGACGCCGTGGCGGTCATGGGGTTGTCCGGCCATACTTCACCACTCTGGTTAGTGCGTGGGTCAGCTGTATATTGCTCTTGGCCACTCCGTCATTGTTATAAGCTTTCACGTTTCTCTATCCCTGTGCTGTTATTCGATGTTTTTTCCTTGTGCCTAATACATATTAATTGGGGTGGGTGGGTGGTGGTGGTGGTGGTGGGGGGAATTCCCTTCCTATTTTGAGAATACAATAATAAAGCATCGTCAAACACATTCGCGACAGTCGTGTTGATGCGATATTGGTGAAAGGATTAATTGCACATTTGCTATTTCATAGTTTATTCATGCACTCCCGAGTGCCTTTGTGTGGTGATTAGGTGTTATTAATTTGTAATTTTACGTAAACACATTACCTTCGATGTAATCGGTTTACATTCATTCCAACGTGATTATGATATATGGACAGCAACAAGAAATGGTAAAACGGGCAAGCTGGATAATCGATGCGTATCGAACTGCTTTCTTGTTATCGCGTAAGAATGAAATAAAATTCTCAAAGCGAGTTCAAGATCAAAATGAAGAGGCGCTGATGTCAGCACACCTCTCTAATCAGAGTCTCGATTGAGACTGGAGGAATCCGAGGAGCTATGAAGCTCTTTTTTTCACAGATGTCCAGTCGGGGTGGGTAAGAAAAATTGTCAACAATAAACATCTCTCTGTGTTTCCTCTCTCTCTCTCTCTTAAATTTAGCTCTTCTATACCTGATGATGATTGCTTGCATTGCAATCGAAACGTCGTATACTATTATCTAATTTTATTGTATTATTATTTCTTATTTCTACGTGACTTTACCGAAAAAACCAAAGAGTAAACAATAGGAAGGTAAACTAATCACTTAACAAAAATACGCAAATAAAACTAAACTATAGATATTTTTTCATTTTTATCTTTAAAGGTAAAGCCCACTGAGCCGTTAGCTTATTTTTAAAAGCAACCTGGCCATCACAAATGACAGCTAAACGAAGTGGCTCATCATCATCATCACCATAGAAGTAAAGTCGCACCAAGTTTATAAATGTTGTGGCTTGGCTCTCCAACACACCGGTGTGCCGTACTGGTGACGAATTGGCCACGTTCTGTTTACAGTGAGGGAAAAAAGTATTTGATCCCCTGCTGATTTTGTACGTTTGCCCACTGACAAAGAAATGATCAGTCTATAATTTTAATGGTTGGTTCATTTGAACAGTGAGAGACAGAATAACAACAAAAAAATCCGGAAAAACGCATGTCAAAAATGTTATAAATTTGTTTACATTTTAATGAGGGAAATAAGTATTTGACCCCTCTGCAAAACATGACTTAGTACTTGGTGGCAAAACCCTTGTTGGCAATCACAGAGGTCAGACGTTTCTTGTAGTTGGCCACCAGGTTTGCACACATCTCAGGAGGGATTTGTCCCACTCCTCATTAAGGTTTCGAGGCTGACGTTTGACAACTCGAACCTTCAGCTCCCTCCACAGATTATGGTCTGGAGACTGGCTAGGCCACTCCAGGACCTTAATGTGCTTCTTCTTGAGCCACTCCTTTGTTGCCTTGGCCGTGTATTTTTGGTCATTGTCATGCTGGAATACCCATCCACGACCCATTTTCAATGCCCTGGCTGAGGGAAGGAGGTTCTCACCCAAGATTTGACGGTACATGGCCCCGCCCATCATCCCTTTGAAGCGGTGATGTTGTCCTGTCCCCTTAGCAGAAAAACACCCCCAAAGCATAATGTTTCCACCTCTATGTTTGACGGTGAGGATGGTGTTCTTGGGGTCATAGGCAGCATTCCTTCTCCTCCAAACACGGCGAGTTGTGTTGATGCCAAAGAGCTCCATTTTGGTCGCATCTGACCACAACACTTTCACCCAGTTGTCCTATGAATCATTCAGATGTTCATTGGCAAACTTCAGACGGGCATGTATATGTGCTTTCTTGAGCAGGGGGACCTTGCGGGCGCTGCAGGATTTCAGTCCTTCACTGCGCAGTGTGTTACCAATTGTTTTCTTGGTGACTATGGTCCCAGCTGCCTTGAGATAATTGACAAGATCCTCCCGTGTAGATCTGTGCTGATTCCTCACCGTTCTCATGATCATTGCAACTCCACGAGGTGAGATCTTGCATGGAGCCCCAGGCCGAGGGAGATTGACAGTTCTTTTGTGTTTCTTCCATTTGCGAATAATCGCACCAACTGTTGTCACCTTCTCACCAAGCTGCTTGGCAATGGTCTTGTAGCTCATTCCAGCCTTGTGTAGGTCTACAATCTTGTCCCTGACACCCTTGGAGAGCTCTTTGGTCTTGGCCATGGTGGAGAGTTTGGAATCTGATTGATTGATTGCTTCTGTGAACAGGTGTCTTTTATACAGGTAACAAGGTGAGATTAGGAGCGCTCCCTTTAAGAGTGTGCTCCTAATCTCAGCTCGTTACCTATATAAAAGACACCTGGGAGCCAGAAATCTTTCTGATTGAGAGGGGGTCAAATACTTATTTCCCTCATTAAAATGCAAATCAATTCATAACATTTTTGACATGCATTTTTCTGGATGTTTTTGTTGTTATTCTGTCTCTCACTGTTCAAATAAACCTACAATTAAAATTATAGACTGACCATTTCTTTGTTAGTGGGCAAACGTACAAAATCAGCAGGGGATCAAATATTTTTTTCTCTCACTGTACGTGACAACCCTTACTAGTTGGCTGTGTCGGGTGGTGGCGGGTTTTCGCGACACATTTGCATATTTACTCGATCTAACCCAAAAGCCTCCATTATGGATCATCACCATCCCCCACGCTTTCTGTCTTCTGCCCAGATTCCACAGCTCGCACGCGGGAGAAACGCGACCTCCAGTCTCCCACCGACCTTCATCCGCCTTCAGTTTTCTCTTCCCACCTCGAGCGGATGGACTCGTGTCTGGGTAGCCACCAATGCCAACAGCAGCCGCCACTCGTCACTCAGTGACGGTGACGCCACCACGACGCCTGTGCCAGGCCAGGTGCACTTTGAGGCCACGTGAAGTGTCGTAAGGCACGCTGACGGGAGGTCACGGGACAGACCCACGGTGACATTGGTTGGCTCACTGAGATGACTGGTAGTTGTACCAGCTGTACTCTGCCAACTTGCTGTGTTTTACCCGCCCGGCGCTCCGCTCGTTGTTGTGAGTGTCGCTCGTCTGCCCTCCGATGTTGCTGGAGGGCGACTGCCTCCAACTGCCCAGTAGCAGCAGCGTCCTTCACGAGCCTCCTCCTCAGAGACCGATCTTGACACCGCTGGTACCAGTCGTCTGCAAGTCCATTCAGCTCCACATCCTCCCGTACCGCATCACTCCATCTCGTCGCCAGCCTACACCTCCACCTGCTCCCCAATCTTGCGCTGTCTCACTGTAGCCGCTGTGAGCTCACCTGCGATTCGTCGCACGTCTAATTGTGCGCTCCATTTTCCACAGCTACGGATAGCCAGGCGCGTTATTTTTAAATGTATTATAAGTGAACACAATGGTGATCAAGGAACGGACCCCAAGCCCCCATTGTACAGAATCATCTATAATATCTTCACTCACTTCTTGCTGATCATGGTTCGTTTCTCATAATTATTCACAATAACGTTTTTTTTTGGCTTAGATCGCACGAATAAAAATGTGTTGTTAAACGCGCCACCACTCGACACAGCCAATTAGTGAAGTTTATCACGTACACAAAACGTGCCCGCCAATTGGTTACTTCTTGAGTGTGTTGGAGAGTAAACACAAACCATGTTAGTTTCTTTCGGTAAAGTCACGTAGGTATAAAATGAATCACGACGTTTCGGGCGCAACACAAGCGTTCGTCATCAGGTGGCAAAGCATGCTACGTGATTCATCTTCTTGGTTCTTTCGGTAAAGTCACGTAGACTGGAAATAAAATAATAAAAATAAAACATAATAAAATAAAATTCTCACGACGTTTCGGCCACAACACAAGTAGCCTTCTTCAGGTGAAGGAACAGAACTGTCGGGACCGAAAGAACCAAAGAGTATGGATTCCTGCAGTCACGAAAGCTTCAAATCAAGATTTTCTTTTTTGATTTAAAGCTTTCGTGACTGCAATGATTCATCTTCTTTGGTTCTTTCGGTAAAGTCACGTAGAATGAGAATAAAATAATAAATCGATAAAATAAAATAACACAATAATATTCTCACGACGTTTCGGCCACAACACAAGCGGCCTTCATCAGGTGACAGTCTCGTCCCTTCACCTGATGAAGGCCGCTTGTGTTGTGGCCGAAACGTCGTGAGAATATTATTGTGTTATTTTATTTTATCAATTTATTATTTTATTCTCATTCTACGTGACTTTACCGAAAGAACCAAAGAAGATGAGTCAAGATATTCGTTTCTGTTTGGCGTTGCTCGCTGGTACCACCATGTACAACTTGCCGAAACGTCAGCCGTTCTGCGAGCTGCTACTCACAGCTCCCTCATCTCTAAATCTTGTTCATCTCCTTTCAATCTCACCAATCCATCCTGAACCACTGTCTTTCTTACTGTCACCATAGCTACACCATCCACTTTTAATAACCCCCCCCCCCCACCCACCCTCCCGCACTCTTTGTTAACCGGCATACTTTAACGTATAATTTTATAATTAGTGTAAAGCGCCGTGGATAAGGGCGCTGTAATTATAAATCTACGGAAGATAAGATCAGAAAAGCCGAATGGCTGACGAACTAAAAACATTCGCACTCACGTGCGTGTGTGTGTGTGTTGAACTTCTTTCGCACCGTACGCAGCCAACCGTGCTAATCGGAGGTGCACGGAACGGAGTTCGGCTGAGACAATTCTTTTGGGGTCTTCCCCGGGAAGACCCCAAACGGAAGGGGCGCAAACAGCACACAGCCACGAGCAAACGAACGAACGAACGGACGAACGAAGGGAGGGAGGGAGAGTAAATCGTCATTCCCCAAGCCCCCCACGTACTGGATGTCGTCTTCGTTGGCGAACATGATGACGACGCGCGCGGTGGACGTGTCGAGAAGACGCTTGATGATCCTTTCGAACTCCCCGGGCCGCGGTTCGCGTGGGATCTTGAGTGATTGCGCGATGCACACCCCGCCTGCCGGGGAGCGTGCAAGCCACAGGCAAAGCGTCAAAACGTCGCTCTGCGTAGCGACCCCGCGCCCGTTTGTGGGGGCAACCGCTCCTCTGCCGTGCGACGGATGCAGTAGGAGGACTGTCGAACACCTTTGGCGGGGGTCACACAACATCATCCCGTATGGCCTTGACAGACTGTTGGTCCAAGCAAGGCCGGATTAAGATTTTGTAGGCCCCTGGGCTACATGAACTGTGAGCCCCCACCAACCCCCCCCCCGCCCCAGTAATATTTTCAAAAGGAAAACAAAGTTGAAGAAAAAAATAAATAAAATTCAGCATTCACAAACGAAACAACTTTTCACTTCATCTCTGGAGGCCCTCCAAGCTGGCGGAGGCCCCCTGGGCTGCACCCCTAAAGCCCCCCGTGCCTGAATCCGGCCCTGGGTGCAAGTGCTGTTAGCGAGCACGTGTAGAGATGAAGGGCTGGCACGGTACACAAACCGGTGGGTGGCCAGCACCACGCCCGGCCGCCTTTGTTTCCCCAGCGGCGATGTTGACACACCGCACCATGTTGTCGTTTGAGGCTGAGTCGACCTAGGGGAGGCCCAAGACCGGTTCAGACAACCGTCATCGATGTTGGCCATGAGCGGGAATCGAACCCGGGACCCGCCGGGTTTCGTAGTGCAGCGTAGCGATAACCGCTACATCACCGCTCCCCGCATACGCGCATGCACACACACACACACACGCACCTCCTCCACGTCCGTCCCTTACATTGACAGCAGTGTCTGAGCACGAGTAAATGATGAACATAGTGTCGTCACGTAAAGCAAAGAAATCCCCTCCAATATCTCATTCGTGTGGTTAAGATGATTGCAGTCCTTCAATGGCTGATGCTTGCTATTCAACAACAGGGACTCATTTCAGCCAGATCTGTCCAGATTAGGCAATTGGAAAATATCTCCATACCCAGCACACCACATCCAGTACCACCTCTTGTTCGTGGATGTGGCTACCTCGGGTTGCCAACCTTGTCCTGATATTTCGACGGTCATCCTCTTTTGAGACTGGCCACTGTCGTGGCCAAATCTGTGAGCCTTCCTGGGACATTAAAAGTCCCGGCTTTTGTCAGTTGCGCAATAATAATGATGACAATACGTGACTCAAGACAACGTGTTTTACACTCTTGTGCGGCATTGTGAGATATCCTTAATCTTATTCTTCCCATGATGAGTCCCGGGTTTTTTTTTGTACCTCAGAGGTAGCAACTCTAACGACGTAAAAAAAAAGACGTCTCACCATCTCGCTTCCAGCGGCCGAGTGTAACAGGCATTGTTCAATTTGCCACCTTCAAGATTGTGTGAGCTGTCACGATTCAGAGTGAGGGTTGCAACCCCTGAACGACGAGTGTGAAGCGTATATAGGACAGTCACATAATGCAGATAGGTATCCTCATCACCGTATTTATGTTTTGTATTATATTGTTCTAGCTGAAGCTAAGCGCTGAATATAACAGTGGTACTTTTCCTATGTAGTGTACATATGTGGAGCTTCTTTTGCACCGTACCTAGCCAACCGTGCTATTCGGAGGTGCAGGGGAAGGGGAAAAAAAAACCAAAACACAAAAAGCAGTTCTAAATGAATCTGTTTTCAATCTAGCTCATTTCAAAGTGCGTAGCTCCAGTGGTCTCCTAATATCAGCCGAGCGTTCCAGACGGCCGCAGAAGCGCATCTGAAAGCCGCGAGATGCAGTGGCCGTCTTTGTCCGATGTCCAGCAGTCAAAAGCCACTGCAAAGATAACCGGGGTTCGCGTGGTGGTTTATATTCCTTGACAAGATCAGCAAAGCATTGTGGTTTATATATGGCAAGCACTGCGTGTGGCTTCCTAAACATCGGAAGGAAGAGCGTTGCCGACTCTACTGCGTGTCTCATTTTAAATTAAAAAAGCCACAGATATACATCGGACCCAGGGTGCAACTAACTGCAGGTTGTCGTGCATTCATCCCTGGGTAAAACGTTGTTGTTAAGGGACTGCGCAGCCTGCAAGAGGTTCCTGAGAGACCAGCAGTGGCCCTGACGCAATGGGGGTAGAGGGGGCCCACGCAGAAATCATCCTCGTGAGACGACAAAAGAGATATCGCACGGACAAGAGACGTGCAAATGAGACGGGAGACGGAGTGAAATGAGAGAGAGAGAGAGTGATATCGACAATGGAGGCAGAGGCGGAATTACTCGAACGAGATGACAACAGAGCGATGCAGATCAGATACGGACACGAGCGTAATCGTTCGCTTTCACGTTAATGAGCGTATTCTGTTAAGATTCGAGTGAAAACCGGCACTTGGTTCGCTCGTATTTTTATTACACACTTTTAGTATTGGTTTAACACGTAGGCTGTCGCGACCAATATCATCCATAATATAGGGGTTGTTTGGGTTAGATCCTGTAAATATGTGTCGTTAAACCCGCCACCACCCGACACAGCCAACTTGTAAGGTTTGTCGCGCCTCTATGTAAACAACTAAACAGGTGGACTTCTCCACAAATCTGGCTGTCGCCTGATGAAGCTAGTTGTAATTACTGGCGAAACGTCGTACTCAGATTGTAAATGTTGTGGCTTGGCTCTCCAACACACCGGTGTTGCTGTACTAGTGACGAATTGGCCACGTTCTGTTTACGTGACAACCCTTACTAGTTGGCTGTGTCGGGTGGTGGCGGGCTTAACGACACATTTATATATTTACGCGATCTAACACAAAATAACCTCTACTATGGACTTTTATTATTATTATTATTCTTATTACACACTTTTATTGAACTTGCCGTGTTGTCTGTTCATATCATTTGGACGCTTATTATCTTCGGATCTACGAAGCCTAACGAGCTGAAATTTTCTTCACAGACTCGCCCCACGTGATAATTCAAGATTCCATAAAAAAAAATAGGGTGCGCGTTGACATCGCCGCTCCGTCATGGTGCCAGCGCGGCCGCTAAGCGCAAGACCAGCAATTATAATGACTGCTATTGCTGAAATCATTACCTATTTTTCATCTTAATAATTAGTGTTATCGCTTGCTTTGCCACGCCCGTTCCGACGCGCGAAGGGCAACGTGGTTATGGTGAAGTTGAGCGAGCAGGTGAGAATCGTGATCATCTTCTGGTAAGGTCACGTAGAATGAGAATAAAATAATAAAATACCACAATAAAATTCTCACGACGTTTCGGCCACAACGCAAGCGGCCGTCTTCAGGTGAAAGGTACAGACCTGTCGGGACGAAAGAGCTTCAAAGCTTCAAAGCTCTGTCGTCAAAGATTCAAAGCTCTGTCGTCCCGAAACGTCGTGAGAATTTTATTGTGTTATTTTATTATTTTATTCTCATTCTACGTGACCTTACCGAAAGGACCAAAGAAGATGAACCCTTGCAGTCACGAAAGCTTTCAATCGAAATCGTGATCATGTCTTAGAATTAAATGCCCGTGATGTTATCCTTATTTTGATTGACAACGTTGTCTAATGATGATTGTTGATATAAATGCTTAAAGTTAAAGTGCTATATTTATGCAATGTTGAATACGGTATCGCGACATGCACCGTTGTCCATATGCGCGCATTATAGCATTGCAGTCTCTATGTGTCCTGCCGTCTTTCCTACTGTGTACTACTTATTGATCGCGAATACGACAATTATAAACGCGTTGTACGTCTCCTCTTGTCATGAATATCATTTGACGACCTTGCAATCGGCATGGTCGTTATTCTAATTGTAATAGCCGTGATGCGTGCTATCAACATTGCATAGCGTCGACTGTTTTTGTGTAGCAATGCGCATGATTTCCATTTATTGTCGGGTCAAGGGTTGACACAGTCAAAGCCATCATTGTCATCTCATCAGAGCCATGTAAACAATCTGGTGAAAAACAAGCCTTCAATGCACGCACTTTTATTTGCACTCTAATATACAAATAACATTATTATTGACCCCTGAATCTATCGCTTTCGATGTGCTCAATAAAAAGTGGTTGGCTTGCATGAATAAAAACATCGTAACGACACCACCCACCTTTAATCGGCACATCAAATGTGATTAATTCTGGGAATCTAAATAATGCATGTTCGAACTTCAAGTGCAAATAAAGTGTGTATTAAAAATCTTGGGGTTATTTAACATTTTTTTTCCTCAATAATTCAAAAAGGTAGAAAAAAATCATTGGCACCCGTGAGCTACTTGGGGGCCGAGGTGCTCTGCTTGGATCGCGTTTTTGCCCGGCTCCGCCATCGCTCCAGCGACTCCCTCTCTCAAATCCCCGGAGTTACCCTCGAATTGTGTCACCACTGTGTCTAGTTACAAGGCAAGAGGAGGATTCCCCGATGAATTTGCCCAGACAACGGGGAGGTGGAGGAGGAGGAAACAGGAGAAGGGGCGGGCGGGGCGGGGGGGAAGAGGGGTAAGGAGGAGGAAGAGGGGGAGGGGGGTGAACAGTAGGAGAAGGAAGAGGGCTGGAGGAGGGGTAGGAGCAGAAGGAAGATGGGGGGGGGGGGAGGAGGAGCACGATCCGCTTCACGTCACGTAGCTCAGGGCGCCGAGCCGCGCTCGTCAGGGAGGTGACGTCCGCTTGACAGCCGATGTCAGCCGACGGTCCCCCCCCAGTGCACTCGTTTGGACCTCCCGGTGAAAATTGGGGGAGCGTGGCGATGCCATCACGGAAGGCGCAATCCGTCCGTGGGAAGTTACGGTAATGAAGTCGGGAGTTTTGATTGAACGCAGTGCTCTCTTACTGGAGGCCAGATCATATGGAGGTGCCCAAACGAGCAATAACACAGTTGATGATAATTTGTGGACATTGTCAACCCCACTGCCGGATGAAGGCCTACCAAAACTGTGCTTGGTTTAATTACACTTTGCCACGCTAAGCAACAACAACAAAACTATTCCACGCATATGGTCGAGGCAAGCACCAACCTTAGTGAGTCTCCTAGTAAGGCAACGATTTCCCCAGTGCAGATATTTCAATGAACTGCA